ACACACACATAACACACACACAGAAGCCATACTGTTTACTTAAAATGTTTCTGCGTGTACGTCATTTAGTCTTCTCTCATTGCTTAGGTCTGGGGAGCAATGGGGTGACGTCAGCAGTGGAAGAAGAGACAGACGGCCGGTTGATGCGGTTGAGGAGCCTACACTGAGACGAACAACAAGGAAGAGGCCACCTTCTGCACACAGACAAAAACCACAACTGGACATCTGTAAATTGACCTGAATTTACACTTTGATCCTTAAACTCTTTGTATAATCCAAATGTATGCACATACTATCATGCAGACATGCACCTTAAATTGTAATGCATTACATTTATTCATACTCGGGAGAGAATAACGCACAAGATCTAAATGTGTACGATTAAGTTGCATAGAAAAAATGGCAAATTCTGATTTAATGCATGTAATGTTTTTGTATTCAGTGACAGGTTCAGAGCCCTCTTCACCCAATCCTCAGCCTCTGGTGTCCAGGTGTACTCAAACATCCACCACAGCACCAGACAGCTACTGTTCACACACAAATACTGTCCGCAGCAGAACACACCCCAGTAAGAACATGCATCCCTCTACTGCAGACGTTTTAATGGCTACTTCAGATGTTTTTAGTCGATAGTCCAATCCAGATTAACCTTTTGTGACTGAGCAAATTAAAGTGTAGTGTCTTGCTCAGACGTGTTGACAGTGACGTTGTTACAGGATTTGAAGAGCATGTAGTCGGTGCAACCCAGTGCCCTGTGGCTGCAGCTCGGAACAGCCAGACTTGTGATTGAAAACAAAACATAGAAGCATTAGTTTTATTTCATTGTGATGCAGAGGCTTCTCTTTTGTAATTGCCACATGGCTGTATTGTGCAGCAGACAGTACAGCCCCTGTAGAATGTCCTAACCATGCAAAGTTCTCTACGCACAGAGCTTTTGTCATTACAAGCCTTTTATAGCTTACTTCAGTGTCTCCTGCCATCACCAGCTTCCAAATACTATCCCAAAATGTGTGACACTCTTATATTTCCATAGACGCACAGAAATGGGACGACTCGTGATTCATGTCAACACTGATGTTTAACAATAAAAAACGTTTTTAGATTATTTCGATGTATTATAGATACACATCTGCCAGAACAGATGCATGTGTGTTGCAGGGCAGCATCTTGATGTGTCTGAACCAGCAGCTGAACCTGACAGCAGAGGGCGTCGGGCTCGTCTTTGTCCTCAGTGTTTGTCACGTCACCAAGGGCGATCTGAAAGTAAGGAGGCTCCTTTCATCCTGTTCTGCACTTTTGTCTTTCCTTCTACGTGTTTGCCTGAATGCAAAGAAAGTCGAGTCAAAAGAAAGAGAGTGAAATCCACTTCTTTGTTTTTTTTTAATCATTTGACAACAGCGTTGCCGTTTTGTCCTCACTCATTGTGCTGCTCACTTGTTTTTTTTTCCTCTCCGTGCCAGTTGGTGGCGATAGAGAGCCGGTCCACTCCTATTGCTTTTGTTGCTGTCCTCTCTGTGGACGCCCTGAATCCTCCAGAAGCACTGAGCCAGGTTAGAGACCATTTCATCAGAGGTGCTTTTAAGTGCATGATGTAATACATGATGAGTTTGTTGTTCAGTACAAAGTTCTGTACAGTCACTGTGCTCAGGATATACATCAGTTCAGTCTGCAGTAAATTAAATCTGTTTAATTATGTGAAGTGTTAGTGGAGCTGCTGACTTGACCTGTGATTCACAGACTGTCGCAGAGTTTCAGACTCACCCACACACATAAGCTGCCACTCGTGTCCCCTGGATAGAGCTGTGAGGAGCAGACACTTTGCAGCTGCAGCTCCTCCTGCACGGTTGCAGTGCATGCCAGTGTTCCCGCCACCACTTCTGTGAGCAACCTTACACACACACACACACACACACACAAGACATATGATGAAGTGTCTATTAGGCTTATTTCAGCCACTGGCCTTTGAAACAGATGATTATTGTAAAAAGAAAATCAGACCGTAAGCTTTTTGCAGAAAGTCTCCTGTAGTTGACTGATCGTTCTGATTTTTTTAAGTTTGTTTATATGAGGTAAAATCCAAATGATCCTTTTTAATATATGCAGAAGCTGAGGCCCTCTTACAGTACATACTACAAACATAGCAAAATGAAGTCGGTGTACGTACTGATGACTGTCTAATAATAAGGACATAGAAGAGTTGGAATGTTTCTGTGAAGTATAAGTGACACTTTCACATATTTTAGCCAACATATTGTCATTTCCATCAGTACAAAGAAAACTGAATTTGTTTGTTGTACTTGTGCACTGTTTGTTTAAAAGTTAGGATGACAAATTATTATTTTATTTTTTTTTGTCAATCTTACCCTGTTCAGGTTTTACTCATCACCCCGCTACGTGTCTCCTAGCCACAGCACGCCTTCAGGGGTCAGAGGTCGCGGGGAGAGGACAAGACGCTTCCAGTCCTCTGACCAGCAGCACTCCGTGGACACCTCTCTGAACAGAGCCATCAGAGCAGCTCGGCACATGAAACATACCTCTGGACACATGGCTCGCTCTCTGGCTGCTGGAGTGCAATACCAGGAGGTTCTGACTCAGTCCTGCAGCTACTAGTCTGCTCACTCACCTCACAGGTAGCATGGACTGAGCAAGAGTAACCTGAGGCTGGCAACAGGCACTGAATGGAGTGAGTGTCGGACCAGGTAAATCAAATGCCCTCTTCTTTGTAACTTTTCTTTGGGTCCTATGTTTGGATACTGCATTTTTTTAAAAGGTTCCCCATATGACATTCAGGACATTAACATGGCAGCAAACGGCCTTTTGCTATGTAAAGAAACTATTTGTAACTTCTTCCTTAGTAGAGAATGAAGTCACGTAGCTAGTCCGGCCACAGATGCATGTCCCAGTGGGTTTGCCCTACTGGCTAGCTACTTTATTATAACTCTTTATTAATGTGGTTTTAAAAAATATATATTTTCTAGTTTGTAGAAATAAGTTCAGGATTTCCGTGTTGTATTAGTTGCTGCCTAAACGTTGTCCCCTTGTTGATACAGCAGCATATTGTGCTGTAAATAAAATGCACTTGCTGTTATTGAGTTAGTTTTGGATGGTCTTGCAGGAGACCATCGTGGATCTATTTTGTAAATGGTGGAAGCTTGTTGTCGTGTGGACCCGAGATGCTGGATATCGTCTGCTTCTATGTTAGTTATTTTGTATTCTATACATTTTAAACTGTGGGTTTTTATCCTGAACTTTTGTACAGTGTTTTATCACATGCTTGTAATTGTAACTCTGAGCCAAACAAGTGAACTGTAACTGAGCAGCTTTGTCGATCGAGCATTCACACACCAGCACTGCAAAGACTTGAGCATGCAGTGCTGGTGTGGATCCATCTTTTATATATATATATATATGGAAATGCCAACAAATAGAGGAATATTGAACTATTTTTACAGATAATTTATGAATTGTATTTGGTAGAAATATACCTCAGAACTGTGGATGTTAAGTGAATTCTGTTTTTTGGTAATTTCTTTGTACTGTTTTTTTTAACGGTCTTTTCTAATATTTAGCAGGGAATCTTTTCAGTTGACCCTAAAGACACAAATAAAAGGTAAAAAAAATTAACTTGTTTTCGCTGTACTTCACTGTTCAGGTGATTTTTGGAGGGGGGGGGGGGGAGAAAAAAAAAAGAGTAAAATGTAATGGAAGCCAATTTATTAGACAGCCTTAGTACATATTAAGTACTGTTTGTGCTTCAACACTCGCAAACATACAATCCCAATAAGTTAAACAGTTTTAGGACAGACCAATGCATCACTATTATTTTTTCCTCTGATAAATAATTTTGATATAAATCGACAGTAAACTCTATACAACAGCAAATTATAATTTAAAAAAATGAACACAGTCAAGCGTTTGCATCACAGAAACGCATTATAGTGCAATATACAACTCGTTTGGCCAGGAAAGGGTGGATGTAAGTTATTCTTTGCAAAGCCATTCACAATTGAAGAGTTTACATTGCACCAGAGGAGGAAACAGGCAAAGAAAGTATAGATATTAATTATTTTCCCAGTTGACCATTAACAGCTAAAACGTCAAACACAGCGGCTTCACATCGACATGTTTTAAAGGAAAAGTTTCACTACGTCACAGTCAGAAATATTGCCAGTCAACAGTGAGACGCTAAAACAGCAACATATGACAAATACACAACACGACTCAGTGCATGGCCCAATGAAACATCACTAACCAATGATAAGACTTAATCTGACAGGATACAATACTGAAATACAACTGGCCCTTTTTAAGATTCATTAAATATCAGCAAGCATTTCGACATTAAAACGTGAAGTTTCTCCGGAGAAAGGAAAAGGTTGTGGCAAGTAAATACTTTAGTCTCTGCAGGCAGAGGAGGGATATTCTGGCTTTTTACAGAGCGGTTTCTCTGCCCAATGCTCCAAGCGTTGTTTTATACAAATACTTCAACAAAAATGTATGCTTCGAGTATGAGTCACCCAACCGGACACTCTTTGCTAGTCTCGGTAGGCGTGTCAACGTGCGTAGCTTGCTCATTAGCAAACTTTTTTTTTTTTTTTTCAATTAAGTATCTTAACCACTCCCCAGCACGGATATTCGTAATACAATATTACAAACTGTTAATATTCTATCCACCCTATTTCTATAAGTTACATTAGACTAAGTTAATGAGTAGAATGCATTAGATTTACCTAATGAGCAGGCAGCGGTGTTTACAGATGCACCGTTGAGTGTAACGCGTCAGGAGTGGTTTCAAAGCGATACTCAAAACAAAGGTTTTGGGTGAAGTATTCAAGCTCAACATCGTAGGGAAAAAGCTAAGTGCTAAACTCTGCGGCTTCCAGAATGTCCACAATGGATACAAACACATCAACAGTCCACACAAGTCCAAGCATGCTACTGTATACGAACATCTCAAACGGGCAGGGGGAACTCCTCTGATGAATATATTTTTTATATGTATTGCATGTTGACCGATATGATATATTTTACAAGATCAACCTCTCAAACAAGTAGGAAACCCAAAGGAACAAACAAGAGAAAATGTCTACCTTTTTGCACAGGTGTCACAGCGTACAATATTACATTTTGGTACTTTAAATGGCCTTCTGTTCAGATATTTAAACCCGTTTAAATGAGTTCATTTAGTTGCATCCATTGTAAAACGTGGGAATACTTGCAACAATGTTATTCTTTGATACATCATATATATTTTTTTTTATCATCTTAGAGGTCTTTTTCTTCTCAAGCAGGATGCATACACAATGTAGGGAAGGATACAGAGGTAGGATGGGTAGAAGGGTTAATGTAAAGAGGAGAGAGATGTGATTGGAGGATTTTAGCTTGTAACTTCCTCGTCTGGTTTGTTCATGGCCTTGAGCTGCTCCAGCAGGCTGGTGGGGGTGAAGATGTGGGTCGATCCTGGAGACACATTCATAAAACACACACACACGAGCGTTAGATCTGCACGTTTGGAGGGAAACCGATAAAAATGTGTTTTCAGCTCTTGCCATGAATGCCTACTCTAGATGAGCACACGCCCACGTAATGTTGAAAGCACAGATAGAAGCACTGAGCAACCCACAGTCATAAAATCATAATCAATTAGCCAGCAAGTTAAAATGGATAAAAACGGTTTAAAAAATAATTTTAAAAGGTGGGAGTTAACCAAGTACTTTGAGTGTTTCCAATCAGACTTTTTATTTCAGAGGAATACTTTGTATTCTTCTTTTCACTACATTCCTCTTACAGCTGCAGTTTCTAGTTACTACTGTAACAGAAGAAGTCATAAAGTAGCTTCTCACTGTAGGTTGTTTGGTCAAAATATGAATATTTTTGATTGTCCTAAAGACTTAAAAAAAGAGACTTGTTAGCCTGTAAACAAACATGTCGCCAAAACTAGCATGGCTTATGCTAGTTTTGCTGTTTTACTTCAATTATCCATATATTTTATATTTAAAATGTTTTAATCCTGATTTGTCTTTAAGTACCATGTAAACTTCCCCCACTTCTGACTAATACTCTTGAGTACTTCACTCTACAAACATACAAACTCATGAAGCCGTGTTAAATTACATGCAGCTGAACAATATGGAAGTACACAGATCAGTGATCGTCATGAAATCCCAAACCAGCATCGCGTCTTATATGAATGAAAATGTCATACTCAGTAACTCTACTAACACAGATGAACTGTTGTGACAGCTGAAGACACATTTCAGACATTGTGAAACTTTAGCAGTGCTAGACTGGAGTAAAGCAAACTGTCAAATTTGTTGCTTTGCCAAATTAAAAATTTTCAAACTATCATAAATAAGACAAAACATTTGATTTACTCCTTATGCAACATTGTCAACAGTATTTGACCTACATTGGTTTGTTTCTGTTGCAAAGCTGCATGTTTCCTCCAGTTTGGTTTGATTACCTTAAAGACGTTCACCTACAGTAAAATAAAACTTATACTATAACTTAGAATAGGAACTGGAGGTATTTAAAAACAGAAGAGGAGGAGGCAAGCCCATCTGGAGTGTGGTCGTTATGGTGAAACGGGGGTCATGGGTGGGGGTTTAGTGTGGGACACAGGTCAACGTCGGACTGGCCTCGCCTGCTTCTCTGCTGTTCCCCAAACACACAGCTTCGTGAGCCTTTTTGCCCCAGAAACACAACACCACGACGTTGATCTCCAACGCCACTAAATTATTGTACATGGCTAAGCTAAGACCAAAATAGCATAACAAAAACAAAGACTTGTTTTAGTAAGTGATGGCCATTTTGCTCAGGAAAGTGTTGAATGCAGCAGTATGAGGGGGGCGGCCATACTGCTTATGGTGAGAGCTGCTTACTGAGGAAACCATAAAACCAAACGTTGGTTTGTTAACGATATCGCTTTAGCAGATTAGTTAGGCATGAGATGGATACGCAGAACTACACTGTGCAATCTTTAATGGTCGAATAAGTGTTCAGAAATAGCATTGCTAATCATTACAATGGCCAAAACTGAACAATGCATCCATCTGAATGTAGATTGCAGATCAAAAACTTGTAAACATATTGAATTGTTAAAAACAGCTAATTTGGGTATGTGCTCTTAGAGCGTGTTTTAGTTAAACAGGTTCTTTAGAATGCATTTGTTTCTGTATCAAAGTAAAACTAATAGTCTGCTAGTGACTGGTGTAAACAATGAGTTTTGGAAGAAATGAAGAGTCTCCTATATTGGGGGAGGGGTGGATTAGCTGCATCTTTACCTTTGTATTTGGTTGCTAAAGCATATCAGGTGGAACATTGCTACATTCGCAGACTGTCAGCAGAGAGTCATCATATAGGCCCTGATACAAAGAGCAACTTTTTGGGCATCTTGTATTTTTCTGAAGCAATTCTTGTTTCCCCATCTCTTTTCTCTGTTGCCCCAAAATTGCCCCGTGTGTCAGCGCCCTGAAAGTGATATCATGACCCCTCTGCGGACGAGCCACGAGCCATGTGAGCATGTGATGGTGGGCTGTGAGAAAGTGACGTAAGAGGACTGGTAGTCAAAAGAAGAAAAAAAAAAAACCACAAGGGAAAGAGGAGAGGATCCTTCTTTGAAATCCAACATCAAGTGAAGGACCTGTCCTTGTGTGGAAAAACCAGTGACAAATCAAGGTGACTGTCTTTGCGAAGGGTTGATTAGAAAAATAATCAGACAGTAAAAACTGATAAAGATGGATCTCGGGGGTAGATTAAATCTGGAGTGAGTGTTCAACAGGCTCAAGGGGCCTTTGGGTGGCTGTCGAGGGGCGATTTAATCCACCCAGCTGAGATGATGGGAGGAGGCAGCAGGGATGGGGTCACGACCCCCTCGGACATGGCCGCTCTTCAGCACAGACTTTACTTGGGCTGAATCCAAATGTCCACCCTCCGGACTCGAGGGTCCTCCATACTGGGCCCTCGTAGCCTTGCAGTCTAGTGGCCTCAGTACATATGGCCAAAGAACATATCGTTAAATAGTTTTTTTTACATGATTAGCAGGTAATGTCTGCTCCCCAAGCGCTCTCTCTAGAAGTCTGCTAACTCAGTGAATTGTGGATTTAGAAAGTGGTCAGACGTTTGGATTCAGCCTTCCTGTAGGGAAAACAGACAGGATACACCTGACTGAATAGCAGGAATCCTGTTAACTAATCTGGCTAACTCTGTGTGTACAGGGACTAGAGCCTGATGGAGCGGTCCATGCATTGAGGAAAGGTCGGGGGTTGCCCATCCCTGAGGGACACGGGGGGGAGGCGGGTGGAGTTACATAAAACAGTACTGAGTGTTCAAAGAAGGAGGAACAAGGAGGAAGCCCTTGTGCTGCGAAGGTTCAGAAAGGGCTTCTTTGTGCGGCTGCCTTTACTTTTTTCAGTGTGATTTCTCTCTCCCTCCCTCCCAATCTCTCTCTGCCTCACTCGGCTGTGGGTTCTGCGTCCTCAAAGGACACCCTAGTGGACTCTCGGAAGTCGGGGTGCTGCAGGTCCGATAAGAATTTGGTGGGGGTGAGCATGTGGGTGGCACCTGTGGAGGAACAGAGGCGGCTTCACCACTCGTCTCTCAGCACATGCCATGCCCCCTTCCCCACTCGCTCCAAAAACAAAAGGGTTACAAAAAGAAAAAACGGTCGTACAGTAAACACACACACAGTTCACACACACACACACACACACACTTGCCATGTTGCACAAACACAAAGAAACACACAGATAAAGACATGGTGTGGCTGCAATTTAAAAGACAAGTTGTTTTTAAAGACAACAGCTGAAGCAGAGCACAACGAAAACTAACAAGACACTTTCCCATTTATAACAGACTGGCTGGCAAAGCTTTCAGACAGTAAACAGTACACAGGGGCATAACATGAAGGGTTATTTTAACATAACACATTGAACACAATAGGCAGGTTGTAAAAACTATCTGCAGCTACACCTTCCACATACGTTACACAAGGTTGCTGCGCTTGTTTGTGGGATTTGTGATTCGTGATCAGGGTGAAGTCAAAAAGGAAATTACGCCGTCCTACATGAGCTGTGTTGTGGGTGGCTTCAGTTTGCAAAACCTGAACTTCAATTCCGAATTTGTCTCTTTATTGAAAAGAGGGAGAGTTATATATTCATCGTAGACGACAGAATAAATATAGACCATAGTTAATCCTGTAAGAAACTAAACTTTCTTAGAACTATCGTACGGCTTGCGTCCCCAAAGTATAACTTAATTCCAGAAGGTTATTCTTAAAAACGGGCATTACCTTGACAAAAAGTTGATTTGTTTCACCCCATGCTTTGAGAAAACAAGCAGACTCCTATGAGGTCAAATGTGTCATTAAGAGCTTTGTCTTCCTTTTTATGCACTGAACTTCTACATCAGGGTTAGATTGTCCATTCACCTCACTTCCCGTGGTTACCGTCATGTCTCTCCTCCCCTCCATCTTTATTTGTGTTCGCTCCATTTCAGAAGCTTTGTCCTTCTGCCCCTCAGAGGACCTGCTGGTCAAACCTCACATAGTCCTCTGAAAATGCTTCAAAGGACTTGGGCCTCTAAATTAGGACGCAGCTTTTATCAGCGTTCATGCTTTCTATAAAAAACAATGGTCCACTTAGAGACACGTCCACTGTGTTTTACTTAACACCAGGCTGCGTCCTACGAATATGAACACTTCTTCTTGCTCTTGGCCTGCGCTCAGTGGCGCCTCCTGGTGCACTACTCACCAATGACGGCCTCCCACTTCCCATTGGCCTGTGTGACCTCATAAGCGCAGCGCATCTCGCTGAAGGACGCTCCGCCGATGATGAAGACCATGACACGTGGCCCAGTGCGGTACTCTCCAGGAGTCTTATTCTTGTGCCAGTGGCCGTACCGAGCACTGCCAGAGCAGAGAGGAGAACAGGTTCAAGTTAGTACAGTTCCACAGCTCGTTTTTGCCTCATCTTGGCATCCTGATAGTCTTTTACCAAAGTCTCTCACGACAATGGACACACAGATGTGCTGCGTTTGTTCATCAATCAAGGGACAACAGAGAAACTTTTCAAAATCGAATAGTTTGAGTGAAATACTAAAGATGCACTCAGTCCCTAAGTCATCTTGGTTTACACCCTAACTTTTGTCTCTCAGGCACTTGTTCCTTCAGGCTACATACAGGCTGCTTTCAGCCCTCTGAGTTGGGCACATAGTGTGAAAAATGCATTGAGGTAAGGAAGAACAACAGAATGCTACTTCAGCTTTGGTAGCGGTGCGTCACAATGCTGCTTAAAAACATCCTTGTTCTCTTCAGAACCTTCTTCAGGACTCCGAAGATGAACTGGAAAAGACAACCAAGACCAGCAGGTCAATTTTGGGGTGAATTTTGTCATTGTATTTTACTAATTTAATAGTCTGCCTCCCAAGAAGGAGCCGACGTGCAAAGCCAGCGTATTTTCACATCTTACTCCGTGAATTAAGGATTTGTTTTGACCAAACCAGAGTTGCTGATTGTTGGAACAAGACTGGCCAAGATGTGTTTAGTGAGTTTATTTAGGTTTTTTATTTCATAAGTGTGTTAACAAGGCAAGTCTTAGTCCGGTGTAAAAGAGAAACTTTAATCAGAAGGTGCTCGGTTGTATTTTTCTGTTTAGGTGAATATTCTTTTCATTGGCATTTTGTGGGTTTATTTTGTTTGATTATCAGACTTGTCAAACTTGCCTCTTGTGTGTGAAGCAAAGTATAAAACATTAATTGAAGCCACTTAAAGTTTAAGACTGAAACCATATCAGGTGAGTTGAAGTCAAACAGAGGTTTCATCTGTATCTACTGTACGTTTCCTTTGACATGTGTCCTAATGTGATCATCAGTGCTGGGTGGGTCTGTATCTGTGAGGGCGGGTCAGTTTGTAACAGGAGAGGATTTGACGCCGACTCGACACACCAGCAGAGTGAAGTGTAAGGATCAGTGGGGCTCAACATGGCTTCATCACTCCCTCTCATAGACAAACACTCACTCACTCACAGAGTTGGAAATATTGATAATTTGTAATCAGGTCAGCTTGCTTACATGTTGGGTTGTAGTTTCCAGGGGTGTTATTTAAGATGTATTTTTCTTTTTAGGAAAAACGTTTTTAATAGAAAATGTCTTCAGATACATTATTTAAAATGTTGCTGACATTTCATCTCCTGTGACTGCAGATCATTTCAATGATTCCAATGATTTAAAAAGATGCAAAGTAATCAGTTTAAAAATGAGGAAACTTATATGTTAAATGCCGGGTTGTTACCGCCTGTATTGATGTTCTTATTCGTTAAAACGTATATATGCATTATACGCATTTACATTCAAAGCTTCTGTTGAGTTTTTCCAATGAAGCTTATTAACTGTCTGTCAAATAAAATCCTCAATTGTAAAAAGTGATTTATTGGATTAAATACAACTTTCTTTAATGAATATTGCCTCCCTTTGTGTGCGGCAAGTGGGAGAGCAAACTGTTGAGCGCAGCAAAAAAATGTTTTTTTTAAAAAGGTTAAATGCCAAAAAAACTTGGAATTTTGGAAAGGGTCACATCCATCTTTTTATTTTGCAATTCATTTTTGGCCTTCACAAAGCCCTGGAGTCAAACAATCCCGCGCAGCCACTACTGGAAACTAATTCTACAAATAGTATAATACGAAAAACATCAGTGTAGCCTGATCTTTATCTGCAACTTTGCAGAAATACCGAACTCCAACAGAATGAGTAGACATACAAAAAGAAAAAGCTGCGCTACGTTGAAATGTTGATTTAGAATTTGATTGTAAACGTTATGAATGCAGCTTTGCAGCATGTCTGAGCTCTCGTCATGTCTCCTTTCTTTGCACGCGGCTCACTAACCCGACAGTCATCAGCATCGCCTCCCTGCTCTCAATTTTTCTCGAGTATTGATCCGTTAGACTCGTCTCCCTTCCCAAATTACTATTGATCCACCTCCATTTCTGTCTTCATAATTTACGATGCAACGAGATGTGCATATGTGCGAGTCTATACGTGTATATGCGTCTGTGCACCTGACTGCAGTGGTGCTGAAGGAGGCAGAGGAGCGGGTAGAGATGTAGGGGTAGTGCTTGGTGTCCAGCTTATCCTCAATAGCATCCTGCAGGGGGACAAAAAGACAAAACGGATCTTTGTCAGCAATAGTGTCTGCTTCAAACACACTTCAATAGGGGCTTCACAGTTGTGTCACGTCTCTTAGCAACCATGTGTGGCTCCATCAGAGTGGTCCATTGGAGAATTGGCTTTGCACAAATAAGAGGCTAAATATAGTCACAACCAGGCTGTTTGGTTGTTGCGGGTGTACGTCAACTGAAAAGTAAATATGCTTGAATGACTATTGTTGTTTTTGGACAAGGTTTGCAGAATCTGTCTATAGAGAATAGTCAAACAGTGATTTAAGCCCTTCAGACACACCTCCATGATGTCCTTGACCAATGGTGTCCAGCGGGACAGCTGATAGGTCTGCTCGCTCACACGCTCCTTCCTGTCCAGCTTCTTTCCTCGGCGGAGGGTGGACTAATGAGGGAAAGAAGAGACCAGGAAGTGAATGAGATAAAGTGGGAAAAGGACAAAAGAAATGAGGACCAGAATCACTCTATGCCTCTTGTGTTAGTCTAGAAATATTCCATTCACACTGTTTGGTCCATATATTGTATTGGGAGATGATGTAACGTAGACAACTCTTGACTGACAGAAAAAGCAGAGGAGAGAAGAAGAAGAAAAGAAAAAGAAAAACAGCCAGTGAGGATCTTACATCTGTGACGATGGGGACGCCCAGGTGAGCCATGTTGGTGATGATCTCACTGTCCTCAGGGGGAATCTGAGCGTGTTGGATCAGCTTGTTCAGGTTCTCCTCCGTAATGCCTGAAAACACACACACACACACACACACACACACACACACACACACACACACACACACACACACACACACGAGTGTTTATTATAAGATATGAACTGTGTGTGTGTTTACATTTAATATGTTCAGCTTGTTCTGGGATGAAAGGGAATTCATGTTTTTGTAACTGGAGTGCAAAAATAAAATTATTTTATTAAAACTCGAAGTCGACCGGATATACGTATACTTCCTGTATACTGCTTAAACATAACAGCTTAATATGGCTGTGTAGAAATGTCAGACTTCAGATTTGATTTCTTTATGTTGCCTGTAATCTCCTCCTCACCATTCTTGAGGAAAATGTAGAGCAGGATGATGCGGATCTTGTCGTACGTGGTGACGTTGGCGTCCAGTAGGATGGGCACGATAGCCCTCATGGGGTCTTTGATCTTCTCTCCCTCAGCGTCCGTGCCCATTGCCAGATCCTGCAACAACAGAGAACTCAGGTATGATATCATGTTTGTCTCTTAGAATGGTCATTTAAAACCCTCAAATACACATTTCCTGGGATTGGTAGGCATTTTACTTTCAGTTACTATTTCAGAAATCATTGTCATTTATTCATGTGCAAAAATCTTCATTTTATTTTTTAAATTTGGATAATGTCCTCCTTTAGCAATAATGTCTTCTTGAATTGATTTCCCCCCCTCGTCCTTTTCTTTTCCATCTTCTTGTTTCATCTCCTCTCCTTGCTTCTCATCTCTCCTCTCACCTGTTCCACACGGCACAGCTTGTCCACTGTTCCCTGGTAATGCTTCATGCAGTCCTCAGCCAGCTGCAGATGGGTGGAGTACTGAAAAACACGAAACATACAAGGGTCAGCATACACATTTACACACGCAGGAAAACTCGCACACAGAAACACACTCCTATGAACACACACACACACACACACACACACACACACACACACACACACACACACACACACACACCTTGCTGAGCTCCTTTTGGTACTGAGGCATCTTCTTCAGCATCTGGGACAGATCCCTCATAGTGGTCTGTGGAAACAAGCAAAAGAGTGTAACGATGTCAACATCAGTGCAGGACATAAAAAAGACATTGGTCTGTTATCATTACTGATAACAGACCATATTTATGTTGGACTCACTACATTTTTGCTACCAAGCAAAACAAATATCATATAAATATCATTTAAAACAAGCAGCAGCTTTACTCGGCACACACAGTGGAAACAGGATAAACAGTTAGGCTCTGTCCAAAGGTAACGAAATCTGCCTACTAGCAGTTTTCTCATTTGTTTAATTTGTGTTTTTTACAATTACAAAAAAGTAATTGTAAAAACAACAAGTTGTGGTCTCACCAGGCTAGCTGTTTACATTTTTTATGCTAAGCTTATCATATGAGTGGTATTTCAATATTCCTATCCAACTCTAAATATCCTTTAAAAATGTCAAAAACATAGCATTAAAAGTCATAATATAGTATGACATAACAATGTAATTAAAAAGTTATTAAAAAGTCACAGTACAGCATTTCATAAAAAAAATCAAAGTATGTCACAAAAATGCCATTAATTGTTTCATAATGAAGTATGCCATAACAATTCATATATTAGTATGTCATGAAAAATAATAGAAATTCACAATATAGTATGTCAACAAAGTAAAAAGTCATAGTACAGGATGACATTACTTTTGTCAGAGTTTGTCAGAATATGTCATAAAATAGTTAGAAAAGGTTCTCTTAGAAAAGACATGATTGAAATGTTGTAAATGTCATAGTACACTGGTTAATTAAAGAAGTTATCCGCCATGCTAAGTCACACTGTAATACCAATAATTTGGCAATACTGTATGTTCAGACTGTATATATCAACATTTCCTGCAGCAGCTTCATCTCTACCTTCTCCTCAGAAGTGTTCATCCTCTTGCTGGCAGAAAAGTCCTTCAGCTGACGGGTCACTTCCCTAAAGACGAAACACAAACAGGCAAGGAGAAGCAGTAACACAAGAGAGAAAGGTTATTATTATTTCGCGTGAGTCAGTATCCAGAGAGCGAACGAAGAGATTAATAAAGAATAAGAAAAAGGTACTCACTGGGAAACCTCAGCTATGTGTTTGTGTCTCAGGCTCACCCACAGGTCATCGTCTTCATGCAGCAGAACCTCCTTCTCACGAGAATCTCCGATGCCACTGGTCTCATACCTGAAGAAAGAAAGACACTAATTAAGGTTCAAATTTGTGACTGAAGCAAAATATTATATTATATTATATACAAAGAGTCTGCCTGCTGCGGCTTTAACCTTTATTAAAATGGAACCTCTCAGGTAATCATTTTTGTCAATTGTGTTTTTTTCGTACTTGTAGACGTCGTTTTCGATGGGCAGCAGGTCGTAGCCCATGGCCTGGAAGGTGAGCTCATGCAGGACAGGAGAGACGGGGTCAAACGCCCGGTCCAAGATGATCAGCTGTGAGCGAGCCTTGTCTGGACCCTACAGAGAGGACGACACACACATACAGGAATGAAAGTGTTAAAGATAAACATACCTATATGATGTTCTACATAGGATTACTTTAAAGTACATTCTTAGTGATGTAGAATTTTACATTACCTACTAAGACAAATATTTTTGCAACAAGAATGAGACAACAGGTGAAAACAGAAATCCTTAAGCAAGACAAGGGGGACAAAAGAAGAAAAAGCCTTACCTCTCCCATAGTGGGGTCATCAGCCTTGTACGCGTCCAGTTTGTCCTGAACCAGCTGGGCCAGGGTGGCGTTGTCCTTGTACTCGCTGACAGAATGACAGGAAGTCAGATGAATGTGACAAGGAGATGGACAGACAAAAAGACAGATGTCCAAGCAAACGGAGACAAAAAAAGAAAAATTAAATGAAAGCATTTTGATAAAAATACTTGAATAAAAATGTTCCTAATTCCCATTTTCATTTTTTTTGAGAAAACAAACATCTTGCTGCAGCAATGCAGGAAGACAGGTTTTCATTTTAACAAGACTTCTTCAAGCCCCCTGCTGCTCACCCTCGGTATCTGACAGCAGGGTACTCCTTCAGGGTGGCACAGAGCGTGGCCAGCTGCTCAGCCAGCCTCTCCATCACCTGGTTCTTCAGCTGGGTCTTATGGGGGCTGTAGAAACTGTGGAAGGCATCTGGATTGTCCAGAGAGTACACCTGCACACACAGACATAGACACACAGCTTAAAATGTTGCTTCAGCAAAAATACTTCCTTGCTTTCCCACTTTCATTGCTTTGAACTTTTCCACCTTCCTACACATCTTTTTATGCCTCCGCGCCGCTGACAACTGTGGCCAGAGGCATTATGTTTACAGGTTGTCTGGCCGTCCACAGGTACATTCCATTCTTATAGAACATGATATCTCACGAACGCCTGGAGGGAATTTTTTGGACTCAAGTATGAACAAATTTGATTTTGGTGGTCAAAGGTCAAGGTCACTGTGACGTTGTCCAATTCTTGTGAACACGATGTCTCAGGTTCTTGAGGGAGTTTCTTCAAATTTGGCACAAACATCCACTGGCCCTCAAGGATGAACTGATTACGATGACCTCTGGGCCTGACACACTTTTTGGGAACTACTGCTATATACTTGGACCTTTTTTTTTTTACATTTTATGACACACTATAATATGACTTTTTATGATATACAATATTATAACTTTTTGTTTTAGTATGAGTTTTTTCGACATAGTATACTTTTTTACGAGTTATTTCAACAAACTAAACTGACTTTTTTATTAATCTTTTCAACATACTATGCTATGACTTTTTTCGCCCCTTTTTGACCTACTATACTAAGATTTTTTTGACAAACTATATGATGACTTTTTTGTCATATACTATACAAAGGGAACTGTGATGCTCAGAAAAACTGACTGCACTTTCACTCAGCTGTTATGCAAGGCCGGATGTTAATGGGTCTGCCATGGGGAAACTACAACGAAGATGGACTCCAAAAGGCGCATTTTACACTTTGCCCTGTGCATTCTGGTTTCATTGCATATGCAGGCTATTTAAACACACTATACTATGACTTTTTTTTTTAACCATACTAGGAGATCATCAGTAATGTTGACAATATCTACCCGTCTACTCACAGATATCCAGAAACATGCATGCGTCCACAATCGGCCTCTGCCCAGGTTAGCACATCTCGTGCACAGGTCCGGATCCATTTTCGCAGTAGGTGATTCGGCCCCACTGATGCACCATCAGATTTGAGGGGAGATGAGCCTCGGAGCAAAGCCGTGGACTTTTGTGAAGGACGCGAGTTAAGCACTCCCCTCGCTGCTCTACGCTAGAGGCTCAGACCAAGTTTCAAGCCCTGGACCCCACCATCGAGGTCAAGAGCAGGACTGTGAACAGTCCCAATCCTCCATGCCATCGGTCACACCGCGTCGATGAGACATGGGCAGCCTGCCTGTCAAAAGGTACACGCCAATACTGCGGCTCGCTCGTCTATCAGTCGGGACCTCCACCTCGCTTCTCTGTCGGTGTTAAACCTGGGACGTCCAGGCAGTTGTTGAGTACAATTCCACAAACTATCCCTCCATGCTTATTGTTTGGTCTTCCATAACCCGTTATGTGCCCCACGTCGCACCGCACCGCATGCCACCCAGGTGTTCTCATTATGGACATCAACACCTCCGCCCTGCAGCTGCTGCGTCACCACCAGTCTGTCTGGACCGTTGTGGTACCTGCGGACACCAACGACCTTCAGATGCAGCAGTCGGAGAAGCTAATAGAGGATTTTGATGCCTCATACACAGTGTGTTTAACACTAGCAAACGCTGACATACTGTGAGTCGCACAATGATATCTTCTGTTGAAGTAGTCATTAACAACAGACCATGAATAAACAAGTAAGAAAATCCTAGAGATTTGCTAGTCTGTCCCTGCTTGTACTTCACTCTAAAACTTGCACTGCTTAATGTCAGATCTCTAGCTAAAAAGACTTTAATGATATCAGTGCTGCTCATAACTGGACTAAGTTCTATAACCTGGCTCGATCAAACTGGTAATAAGGAACTGACTGAAACATCAATAACTCACAAATAGGAAGGGCGGGGAGTTTCTGTTGTATATAATGATCATTTCAGCTATTTGTTTTGTTGGCAATTACCTGAGTTTTGATTTATTTCTATAGTTATTAATTCCATATCTCCTGTTGTACTTCTGTTTTCTGTCATCCTCCTAAACTGAGACAGGGTGTTATGGAAGAATGTGGTCAGCTTTTATCCCAAATCATATTTGATTTTAACCGTATTATCATTCGCGGTGTGTTCAATATGCATGTCGATGACAGCAACGACTCAGATACAAATCAATTCATCAACTTACAAGAATCATTTCATTTCAAACAATATGCCACAAGGTCTAAAGGGTCATACGCTTCCAAACGTCTCAGTATTACAATAACAGCTGTTGTAGATGTTGCAATTTACGACTATTGTTACATATTTTTAGATGTAATATGCTCCCTTGAACAGGTGAATATTGCTAAATTAATTAATGCCAATACAGCTAAAATATGTAATGATGAATTTTACATTACCCACCTTGTCATCATGTGATGCCATGGCGGACAATTTCTTAAGTGTTTTGTCTCAGATCACTGATCATGTTGCTCCTGTCAAAGCATCAAAGCATCTTGGAGAAGCAGCGAAAAAGTAATGATGGCAAAGAGATGCCGGAGAGCTGAATCGAAGTGGAGAACAAGCAATTACAAGTTGCTTTTGAGATCTATAAAAATGCGCTCTACCGTCATAACGAATCTGCCAGAAAGTCCTACATTACTGCATCGATCAACAATAATCAGAAAAATGCCTCATTCTTCCATCCATCCATCATCTGTAAATGCCATTCTTCATGGTGGCTGGAGGCGATCCCAGCTGATGAAGGCAAGATACACTCTGGACGGGTCGGCAGGCTATCGCACGGCTGACACAGAGAGACAAACAACCATTCACACTCACATTCACCTTAAGGGCATTTTAGAGTCATCAGTTAACACCTAAACTGCATGTCTTTGGACTGTTGGAGAAAATGCCAACTCCGCACAGAAGGGCCGGCCAGCCGGGGCCCCTCTTGCTGTGAGGGTCAGTGCCAACCACTACAACCCCTCCAATCTCTTTTTGTCCACTCATCTCACCTCCTCTCCCGTTTAATTGTACTGTTCTTCTCGTCTCCCATCCTCTTTCTGTCTTCTCATTTTTTCTACTTCTCTACTTTCCTCTCCTTCCCTCTCCTCTCGTCCATCAATTGTTTGTTTCCTGTCCTCCACTTTTCTGTCCTCGTTTGCTCTCCTCTTTCTTCTCCTTTCCTCCTCTCTCCTCTCCTCTCCTGCATCACTCACTACCACTCGCTCCTCCCTCTCCATCTGTCTACAGTCACATGAGCACGCTTCTGCCCTGCAGAACTGTTCCTGTTAGCCCGGCTACCATTGGCTACCGCCTGCTGTTTGGATTCTGACTCACCCAACAGGGCGAGAGCATCAGCGTTTGGGCGGGGCTATGATGCAGCACTTTGCCAGAAGCAGAAAACCACCGACTCTGAACTAATCAGAGTAGACAGGAGAGGAGCAAAGCATTGTGGGCCAAGCCTCAGTGTGAGACAGAATGATGGAATGAAGGGGGGATAAATAAATGAAAGAATAAATATAAATATGAAGAAAAAATAAAAAGCTTGATGGAGAGCAGAGAGAGTGCAAAGGCAGGGATGGAGGAATGGCGGGACAAACCAGAAAACAGACAGAGGGAGGGACAAAGATAAACATGATGGAAGCAGCAATTTGGAAATATAACAATGGTAGAGAAGCAGGTGGGAGGGAGGGCGTTGTGACAAATGCGAGTCTTTCTCGAACAGAGTGAGTTGCAGCATTATGCCAAGCGACCACTGGGTTTCTCTCTCTCCTCTCTCCATCTTGTTTTGTGCATCTACCAATAACATTCCTCTCTCTCTCTCTCTCTCTCTCTCTCTCTCTCTCTCTCTCTCTCTC